GCTCAACTCCAAAATCGGGCAACCTAAGTTGCGCGAAAGTGGAAATCGGGCAGGAGTGCTTTTGCGCGAAACCTGTTCTTCTTCCCTGTGAGTTGCGCGAAAATGCAGGATCGCTCAAATCTGGCTTAACCTGTACGCCGAGTTTCAGATTGAGATTTTCTCCAGGAATGATCCTAGCAACAGTAGAAACCTTTTCCTTCAGCCATTTTCCTGTAAAAACAACAACAAAAATAGAACCAGAAATCGCTCAAGTGCAAAATCTTCGCGGATGAAGAATCGCGCAGGAGTGATTTTCAGCCTTCAATCGATCGATCAGCTCCGGCTCTGATACCAGATGTTAGGTCCCTGTTTTCTAGTCTATAAAATGTATGTATGGAAGATAGATCTGGGAATGAAGCTTTCCATTGATGTGATGAAGAAGTTTACAGAATGATATGAAACTTAAGCGTAAAACTTCTATCACGAGAATAGGCACTGTGGCACTAGGAATATCGAAAAGCTTAACCTAGCCTTTCCCTTAAGGCATATATATAGCCTGACGGGAAAGGTAGGTTTTACAATCATTTGGGCTCCTTTTTCTAGGAGGCCCATACCTAAAAAGGTATAAAACCTTTTATTACACATTGCCTTAAAAGGCCTATTCATTATTCTAGCTAGTCTATTTAATTAAGATGCTAAATATAAATAGCTAAGAAACATTGATCACAATATAATGAAAATATCTCTAACAGGAATAAAGCAAAATGGCTCACTAAACTGTCTACTCTTCTTTGTTATGCACCAGCAGTCAGTCCATGCAATTCTCGACTTGATTTTCACTATGGGTCATCCGGAAACAGTCTCTTTGTACTTTAGTACAAGGGTAAGACTGCGTACATCCGACCCCCCCTTACCCTACCGAAGGTGGGAGCCTTTGCGGCACTGGGGTAATGCTGCTGCTGATGATGAACTGTATAGATATTGTTTGGACTTAAGACTTTGAGTAATTGTTTTGAAGTGTTCTGTGCTTTTGTTTTGCACTGTAAGACTATCCACTTCCATAATGCATATAATGTACTCTGTATAATGCACTATAATGGTGTATATGTCTGTGGAGGAAAGTTCATGTCAGGTCGGCCTGACGGGCTGCTCCGTCCGGCCGAGCCCGTTTGGGCACCTTCCCGGTGGAATTTTTTGATGAAATTTTTTAAGCATGTTTCTCATCAAGTCTAGTTTGTCCATACCAAATTTCAGCTAAAAATTCGATCGGGAAGGCATTCAAATTATTTTTTGAAGTTGACTGCAGTTTTATATGTATATTTTGACGCATTCAACTTCAAAAAATGATTTGAATGCCTTCCCGATCGAATTTTGAGCTGAAATTTGGTATGGACAAACTAGACTTGATGAGGAACATGCTCAAAAAATTTCATCAAAAAATTCCACCGGGAAGGTGCCCAAACGGGCTCTGCCGGACGGAGGTTCCCGTCAGGCCGGCCTGACGAGAAGAGTACTCTATGTCTATGTATAACTACATAAATACATATATATATATATATATATATATATATATATATGTGTGTGTGTGTGTGTGCACGCGCGCGCACTATTTGGTTATCTAATACAATAGTTCCATGCTTTTATTTTTTTGCAATATACATCAACAATCTTGAAACTTTTAAGAACAAACTCAAGGTATTTTCTTCTGGATAAAAAGATGTACACTTACACATGTGCACAATTTGTAAATCTCATAATTATTTTTATTAAAAGGGTCCTTCTGTGATGCTCATTTGGCAAAACTTTGGTACTAATTTTACGGAAGTTTAGTTGTGTTTGTGCCTTCGCCTTTATGGTGATGTTATATCATAGCTTAGCACATGGCTCAAGAAGTAGCTGCATGGTATATCACACACACAGAATGAGGCTTTTTTGGTCTACATTATTATTCATATTTTTTGTGGAATTCTTCTACAATACAACATCCAAGCCTTAGTCCCAAACGATATTGGGGTCGGCTAACATGAATCGATACATGATATCAGCAAAAGGAAAAGAAAGAAAATAAAGATAAAAAAGATAAGCTATTATAAAAAAAGATAATATAAAAGAGATGAATATACATATTAAAGATAAAATAAAAAGGATAAAGTAATATTTATATATAAGGATAAAAATATAAAAGAAAAAGAAAAAAAAAGAAGAAGAAAAAAGAGGGGAAAAGATGATACAAGATCACTCCTCCACACGAATACCCGCCCTCCATTTTGCTCTCTTCAAAGTCATACCCTCATCCAATCCAAGAAGAAGCATATCACTTCTGACTCCCCTAACCCACGTCTGTTTGGGCCTTCCTCTCCCTCTCTTCCCTACCTCTTCTGCACACATCTCAACTCGTCTGACAGGTGCATCACTCGATCTTTTATGCACATGACCAAACCACCGTAGGCGCGACTCCCGCATCTTATCTTCAATAGGTGCTACTCCCACCCTTTGTCTCATTCCTCACGCGGTCCTTTCTAGTATGCCCACACATCCAACGCAGGATGTGCATCTCTGCCACACTCATCTTTTGAATGTGACATTGTTTCACCGCCCAACACTCTGTGCCATACAGTAACACTCGTTTCACAATCCACTTATGCGCATGATATCTTGAGACGTGCCGGTATGACTGATTGCAACCCCGTAAGCACCCCCGTGGACACTCATTCCAAACTGGCTGCTTCTGCCGGACCCCCTGTTGCAAACCCCACCTTGTATCGCAGTCTCGCCGGTGCCCTTCAGTACCTTACCTTCACACGGCCAGACATATCTTACGCCGTTCAGCAGCTTTGTTTGTTCATGCATGATCCCAGGGAACCTCACTTTCTTGCTCTCAAAAGGGTACTCCGTTATATTTGTGGTACTGCACACCTGGGTCTTCATTTACAAAAATCATCCATCACCAACTTAGTTTCTTACACGGATGCAGATTGGGGCGGATGCCTGGACACCCGTTGTTCTACTTCGGGTTATTGTGTGTTTTTGGGCGACAATCTCCTATCTTGGTCATCAAAACGTCAACCCACTTTGTCCCGATCTAGCGCCGAAGCCGAATACCGGGGTGTAGCAAATGTAGTAGCCGAAACTTGTTGGCTTCGTAATTTATTAATTGAGTTACGATGTCCTCTTAATAAAGCTACACTGGTTTATTGCGATAATATTAGTTCCGTTTATATGGCCGGCAATCCGGTACAACATCAACGTACCAAACACATTGAAATGGATATACACTTTGTTCGCGAAAAAGTTGCACGTGGTGAAGTTCGGGTTCTTCATATTCCATCCCGACATCAATTTGCCGACATCTTCACTAAGGGTCTACCCCGATTGCTATTTGATGATTTCCGGTCCAGTCTCAACGTTCACCCTTCTCCCGTTTTGACTGCGGGGGCGTGTTAGCCGATGTTATCCTGTGACATTTCAAACGTGTACATATGTGTTCATAATTATCTCTTAGTATTGTAATTTAATATTAGCTGTAGTTATCCTCTAAATTGTTAGCACTTTATTAGGCTTATGATCAGCATATACAACAAACAATGTACCTAGACTAGTTTCTGTAAATACTCTACGAGATAGAGTTTTGTACGTAGCCTATTAATAGGCAGATTGAATATGATAATCACACGGTGAATTTTATCATCTATCTGCTTCAGTGGAGTTTATTGTAGAGGGAAATATTGTGGGAGAAGAATAAGAGATGCGGTGATATTCTGGAAGAAGATCGAGGTTGCGGCGATGGAGAAAAGAAAGAGACAGATGAGAAAGTGGGCTTTAATTTTTGGAAACCATCTTTCCTCGTTTCTCAAATAGCGATTTCGTTTTTTAAAACAGTTCTTGCTTTTCTAATATTTGGAAGCGGAATCTTTTTCTACGGAACGAGTTTTGTTTTTTATTTTGAAAGAAAAAACGGAAACGGTGAAACGGCAGTGATGCCGAACAGACCCGTTCTTTCCTGCTTCATTTCTAGTGCCAAAACCATGTCCGCCATGAATACTTTCAAAGCCATCACGACTCGAGCCCACATGCCCGTTGAGGTCACCTCCTATGACTCTCCCCTTGGCACTCGTCGCGCCACATCTTCAAGATCTTCCCAGAATTGTTGAGTTGTAGATGCATCCAATCCCACTTGTGGTGCATAGGCACTGACCACAAACACAATCTCATCCCTCATCACCAATTTAATGCTCATGATGCGATCGTTCTTCCTGAAGACTTCTACCACATCCTCAACATAGTCGCGCGCCACAATAATGCCTACCTCATTCCTGGTCTTATCTCTCCCCGAATACCACAACTTAAAACCTCCGGGATTAATCTCACGTGCTTTCTCTCCAACCCATTTAGTTTCTTGCACACACATAATGCCGATATTCCTCCTCATAACTTCGACTACCTCGGAAGATCTGCCTGTAAGAGACCCAACATTCCACGTCCCAAAGCGCAATCTAGCACTCCACCTTATGTTCTTAGCCCCGCCTCGGACCCCACCATGCCCTTGCATATTTGACATCATCCTCGGGCAATGGGATGACGCGTCGCTTCGAGGCGACAACCTAGCAACCTTAACATTCTTATCACCACACCCAGGCCTATGAAGTGTAGCGCGCCCTTGCATATTTGACACCACCCCAGGCGGAGGGATGACGCGTTGCTTACGGGCGACGACCTAGCTGTAGCGATATTCATATTTCGATTCATGTCATGTGATGTGACTAGTTGATACTGTTGGCCGTCATGCGCCTACCACAACACCCTTCTCCTTTATCCTGGCTTGGGACATGCATGTGACCAAAAAAAATTGATCTCATGACGGAGTTTGTAATTTTTCTACAATAATGTGTATATATTCCTGTGGAGCTTTTTAGACCAGAACATACATGAAATTTTTCTTTCTTTTATTTTTTAATAGAATATTAATAGATTGTACTTAGCTTATTTATACTAGCAATTTATTTCTATTACTATTTTGCAAGATGGCTTCAACGCATGACAATATGGACAAAGAGAGCTTCAAGTGGAACAATGAATATGTAATGATTTTTTGTGAGATATGCATCAAATACATCCAAAATCAGAGGCGTGGGTTTATGAAGTGGCGAGAGATTAAACAGGACTTTGAAGATGTTGCCAAGTGCAAAATCACACACAAAAGCTTAAAAAACAAGTGGGATTCAATGAAGAAAGATTGGAGAATTTGGAAGTTTTTGAAGCGTGACGGAACCGATTTAGGTTGGGATCCTATTACCAAAAGGCTGAATTGTTCCAATGAATGGTGGGATAAAAAGACTAAGGTATATACTTTACTTGTATATAATTTAAATTCATTACTCCCTCCTTCCCAAACAAAATAGGGTTCTATTTGAACAAAAACGATGCTATGTACATAGTTAAAAATTCGCTACTCCATTACTCCCTCAGTTCCATACTATGGATAGATGGTCTGTTACGATCCCACACCCACACCGGTCAAGTATGAGCTTCACCGGTGGCTTATAAGCAAGGTGTTCCCTCCTAATCGACTGTTCTTTTAGGAGTGAGTTCTACACCTAGACTTATGCACTGCTATGGGCCTAGTATGGGCTAGGTCCGTAACATGGTCCTATTTGAAAACTTAGTTTTGTCCAACAAGTTATATTTGAACAAAAAGAAGCTAATTTTTATTAGCTTTAATGTATTTTTTTCCCAAAAAAGTTCCCCAAACAAGTTATTTATGTTAAATTCAATTATACCAACAAACATGTTTAAACACAAAGTTGCTCCAAGGTGATGATTTTAAATAGGTGTACCTCAATATAATAAAAAAGCTGTATCCGAGTAAAACACTACTTTTTTGGGACAGACTTGGTGCATACTTATATTTTTTAGTTATTTTCATACTCATTTTTTAACCTTGTAGGAAAACCCTGATGTAAAAAAATTCCGCAACAAGTATGTAGACCCTAAACTGGAAGACCTGTGGGCTAAATTATTTGAAAGCAAATACGGAAACGACAATGGTTATATTACACCGACTGTGGATCCCGAGTCGATGCAACTTGCAAACATTGAGGTAGACAACAAAGAGAGTGAAAATGAAGAGAATAGAATGCTTGAAGAAGGCCATGAGAATAATGACTATAATAATATATGTTCTGAGAATAGTGGGTCTTCTTCGCGGCTGGGGGGTTTGGATAGGAAGGAGACTTCTTTATTTCTTCATAATAATTTCCCTAGTGAGATGAATCGGTGCAATGGTACTGCCCAAGTACCACCAAATCAAGGTACAAGCACTCAATGTTTGGATCCTGATCCCATTCGAATGGGGTGCAAAAGGAGACAACTACCAGTAGGGATGGAAAAGAAGCTATCTGGTCAAATTGATGCTTTGGTGTCAAATTCGAACAAGGTACTGAGAATTTTAATGTCTAATAGAAATGTGAGGAGTAATAATTTAAGTAGTACTAGTTCTTGTATTGCTGAAGCAATGCGTATTGTTAATCGCATGGTTAGTAATGGGGTTTTGGAAAAGTGTGGAGATTTGTGGTGTTTTACTGTTTGTCTTCTTGAAGATGAAGTGAGAAGAGAACTTTTCATAAACATGGAAGATGACACTTCTAGAAAAGCATGGTTGGTGTATGTGCATGATAAAGGTAATTGAATCGCTCCTTGTATTAGAGTAATATTTACTTATGTTGGGTGCAATATTGGTCTAACTTCTACTTACTGTATTGGGCATTGTATGGATATTATTTGTACAATCTATCAAATGCATACCACACTTTGTGGTTTTTACTTGTAATTTTGATTAAATATTCGGAGTATTTGTGAAATTTATGTTCACTGCTATGTGTCTGCATCATGGACAGGGAAAAATGTTTTAAATTTATGTTCACTGTTATATGTACATGATCTGGTATGGTTTTGTTTTCGGACCGGGCTGTTCCGGTCACAACTGGTTCCAGTTACTGTTTTTTTAGCCTTGAAAAGTAAAAACAAAAGCAGAATCGGGACCAACTGGTTCCGGGCTTTGTAGTTTAAACTCATGAGAACCGAAACATGCTTGGACCAGTTCCGTGTAGAGGTTTCTGTTCCCATTCAAACGGTTCTGGCTGAATGGCCGGGGTATTTTAAGTGTCTGATTCTGGTCAACCGCTAAGCATGTATGCAAACAAAAGAACAAAAGACTCTCTAGTGATTTGTTAGTGTACCAGGTAGATTATTCATGATACTAGAATCTTTCATCTTTTGATTTGCAAGTGTATCAGACTACCAGGTAGATTATGCATGATACTAGAATCTTTCATGTCAGTTCAAAAGATGCAACTTACAAACTCAACACACGAGATTTGGAAATGTTACCTTGAAAAATTGAGAATATGGATTACATTGTTGCTTCCCATTTGTGAAGGGAATATACATATCATGAGTCAGTAAGTATCTAATCTGTATGTGACTGATGGGAAAGGCTTCAATCTCTTGATATTGGCTCCTAAAATGGAGGAAGTCCATCAACATCACATGTCTAGTACATTTCCAAGGTTTGCTTTCTTTTGCTACAGATCTGAAGATATCTGGCAATAATTAAAAATAAGACTCTTATAACTGAATCAAATGCATTAGGTTTATACTCTTATCCTTTATAACTTTATCAACTTTATTTTTTTTGTTGTCTCACTAACTTTGTCACTTAACCTTTTAAATAAAGAATTCGCGATTTTGTTAACTCTTTCTCTTCTATAAAAATTTCAACGATTTCTATTTTACTATTCTACATGTTAGTCAGCTTTGGCAAAATTATAAAGGATGTAGGGACCACCATTGTAAAAATCGGCCTAGGTGGACCAATTAATCGGCCTAAGCGGCCTAGTCGGCCAAAAAATCGGCCTAGTTGGCCGTCTAGGTGCTGCGCCCTTCAACCGCCCAACTAGCGCCTAGCGAGTTTTAGAACAATGGTAGGGACTATTATATTACATATGTCCTATTATCAACTTTCTGCTAGGTATTAAATAAAAATAGTCAAAAGTGTATGATTTAGGGTTGTGTAGGAGCAGATAAAAATAAGCAAAAGAGTTTTGCTAGGTGTACACAAAATGTGTACACATGTCTGTCATTCACAGAAATTGTCTGTCACAGACAACTTAAAATGAGTTGTCTGTGACAGACAAAATTTCTGCGAAGGACAGACATGTGTACACATTTTGTGTACCCCAAGCATTTTTCTAAGCAAAATCATCAATTATTTACTTTGAAATGGATGTGACAAAGTTTTTGTGACAAATAAAAAGGAAAGTTGACAAAGTTTAATACGAAGTATATTTTATGATATTTTTAGTACTTAGAACTAGAACAACTTATTTTTCAAGAAAATTTTTGGTAAAGTAAAAATCATTCCAATGATTTTATGCCATAATATTTTTCTAGCCCACAAACCACGCTTAGTTCATTGGCATTTCAGTTCTCATTTATAAAAAATCCAGCACATCTCAGCAAATGTTGTTCCGAATATACAGACTATTTTCCCGAAATAATGCTAATTAAATAAATAATTTCCAAAATATTGCTAAGTTAAAAATAATTCCCAAAATATTGTTGGATTAACCAGAGTTAAGGAAAGTATAGAGAGTATAATGCAGGTCGATCAATTATGCCAAAGTTAACAAATGGGACCCATCCAAATTATATATCTCCTCTTTTTTTTGAAGTGCCGCAACTTTTTACCTTTCTGATTGTTACAAAAAATATACCAAAATTCGTAACTTTTTATTATCTTTCATATGACACCAATATTGAATATATAAAATCCAAAGATTGAATAATTTAATCAAGAGTGTAGATTAAAACAAAATTACACAAACTCCATCATATTAATAGATTTTCTTTTTATTTTTCTATATGAAACATTGCTTTCATATAAAAGATAATAAGAAATAATAAATTTTGATATTTTTTTGTAATAATTGGAATACAAATAAAAAACATAGAGCACTTTAACAGTTCGTTTGACAACTATGTTTTTTTGGTTTATTAGGCTTATCGGCCAATTTTCGCGCGCTAAATTGTGTAATAAGCAGAAAAAGTAAGGTTGGTGTTACTTTTCTGGCTGTATTGGTTGAAGTTACTGTAGATGACTATTTTAACTATTTTAAATATAATTTTTTCTTTGTTTTATTAATAAAAGATATCTTAAAAATAATTTTTCTTAAATCAGCAGAATCAGTCAATGCAGCCACTTTAGCCAGAACTTCATAAATTTCAGCAGAATCAGCCAAATCAGCCGATTTTCTTGCTACCAAACAGGCTCTAAAAAGAGGTACATAGTAATTTTTAAAGTGTTAAATTATTTTTTGATTTTATATATTCAATATTGATGTCATATGAAAGATAATAAAACGTTACGAATTTTGGCATATGTTTTATAACAATCAGAGTACAAATAAAAAAGTTACGACACTTCAAAGAAAAGAGGAGATATATAATTTGGGTGGGTCCCATTACTTGTTAACTTTGGCATTGTTGATCAACTTGCATTATATTCCGTATACTTTTGATAAAGCCGCCACTTCAAATGGCGGTTCTTGTATTGTAGGAGATAAACTGCCACTTCAAGTGGCGGCTTTCCTTAACTCTGGTTAATTCAGCAGTATTTTGGAAATTATGTTTAATCCAACAGTATTTTGGGAATTATTTATTTAATTAGCATTATTTCGGGAAAAAACTCGAATACACAACTTGTACATCATCCAATAAAAACACAACTTGTACACAAACCAGTAAAAGATGCAAAGGGAGAGAAAAAAACTGAAAAGAGACGTATTAGCTTTAAGCATTTGTCAACCATAGGGCAAAGGGGTGGACGCGGGCCGGAACAAATTCCAGGACTCTGCGGGACCATAATTGTAAAACAGGTTCCGGAGCAGGACCGAGTACCATGCGGTACCAGTCTCCGGTTTTGATTTTGGGGACGAGACGGTCCCGATTTTGGTCTCAACGGTCGATGGGTCCACTAGCCGGATTATCTTGCTAAGACATTGAACTTGGGCTTGGGCCTACTGGTTTAAGTCGTGGGCTTGATTTCATGGGGTCCTGATCTCAGGTTTCAATTTTGCGGACCAGACAGTCCCGATTCCAATTTCAATCCCAGCAATCGATGGGCCTACTTGGTGTGACATTAAACTTGGGCTTGGGCCTCCTGGGTTAAGTTGTGGGCCTGATTTCACGGGTTCAAGCTCGAGGCCTAGGTTGATTATTAGGCTTTGAGCCAAGAAGCAATTGGGAGAGCGACGGACCAGGATGAATTGACTTGCTAAGATTTATTGGGTTGTAGGCTATTGATAATCAAGAATTGAAATGCAATGTGGAGTTTTGCTAGGTGTACACAAAATGTGTACACATGTCTGTCCTTCGCAAAAAATTTGTCTGTCAGACAATATATATTTGTCTGTCTCAGAAAAATGTGTACACGTACAAAATGTGTAAAACAAATTTTCTGTGAAGTACAGACATGTGTACACATTTTGTGTACACCAAGCATTTTTCTGCAATGTGAGCTATCCGTTCAAGGAATCTATCTAGTCACGATCGTGCCTGGCACCGTGCCTGGCCGCGATTTGTCCTAATTCGACCCGAATTCACTGTTTTCTATAAATAAGGCCTCCATAACCCCGATTTGGGGTTACGAACATTACGGAGAGGCCTAGGGACGAATTTAACACCGTTTTTACGCTATTTTCTTCCAAGACCCTGGGATTATTTGTAAGTTCATCTTTTTAATTAATGACAATGTATTCTATTCATCTCAATTCTGTTGATTCTTCAATTATGAATTGTGAGTAGTTTAATTAGGGATTTGGGGTTGATGAAGGGGTTAATCATGATTGATGGCTAGATTCTTGTCGGTTTAATTGCATGAATGCCGTTTAATTTGTGTTTGAATAATTTAATTGATATCTCTTGTAACCTAGACTGCAGCTAGAATTACAATCGCATGTAGAATAAATTAAGAGAGATCTAATTTGTTCTAGGACACATTCACACACACTTAATCGTTCACTAAGAGATTAGTAGCGATTAAGGGGCCGTAAGCTCGCTCGTCTTGACAATAACTTAGGATCCTGTCGCATGAGAGATCAGCCTGGTCCCCTAAATTATTGTACTCTACGCCGCGAGAGCGGTAAGAACTTAGTAATGATTCGCTAGGCTCAATTAAATTAAATTCATGTAATTAGGCCTGATCAGCCAGAAATCTGGTTACCCCGTAATCAATCCATGTTCCCTTCGTCGTTAATTGAGAAGAAACCAATCTTTTATTTTTATCGCTCATTAGCATTAGTTTTAATTTTAATTCAATCAATCAATCTCGCACATCGCATTTCAATTTATTTATTTCTGTTTAATCGCTGAATTTAGTTAATCTTTAATTCCCTTTTGTCCGTCCCTGTGGAGACGATACTCGTACTTTCAACCACTTTTCTACAACTATTTTAAGTGCGAGAAAACTCTCATCAGTTTTTGGCGCCGTTGCCGGGGACGGTGTCGGATTTAAGGGTTAATTAATTTTAGCAACCTGTTTTTAGTTTTTCGTAGGATTTTTGTCTACTAACCTTGCAGGTCAGATCTCTTTATGCATACACGCTCTAAGAAGGGAGAATCACTAGTCCCTCTTAATCCTGAGATCGAGAAGCTAGCTAAGCAGAACCGCAAGGCCTTAAGAGAACAGAAAGCAACCATGGATCAACCATCCGCATCTGGAATAGCTGGGACGTCTGAGGTCCAAACCACTTCTGGTAATTTGGATTTTTATGTCAATACCTCTCCCCAGTCTTCACAAGAAAATTCACCTAGAGCTTATCCGGGGTATCAAAATCTCCGTACCCCATTCTT